AGGCACATGTATCCTGCTCACCCCTATCATCTTAAGGTATTCCACTTTGCTTAAGTCATCCTATGTCATGTTTATTGAGCCAGTGCAACTCAAATACTCTCCTCGCAGATTTTTTAGTTCTTTCTGTTTCTTCCAGAGAGCGAATCAAGTTCCTAATTCCTCCTGCAGCCTGGTGCAATGCAGCTCTGGAGTGAAAGGGAATACCCAAAGCTTCCTTCTCTCCCAAGGACAACACTACTGGCACTGAGTGATTTTAGAGTACAATAACACTGTTTCTTATTTCTAAAGAACAGTTACTAGAACAACACTCTGCCTCCTTTAGTAGCACAGTAAGTCCTGACTGAACATCCATAGCTGTAACCAACTTCAACACACAAAAAGAGCCTACAGATCTTGCCTACAATGCAGGATCATCGTGCCTTTCCATCACCTGTTCACTGAATCAACCTGAACAAATAACTCAGCCAAATACAAGCCCCTGCCCCACAGGATGGGCCACAGAGATTTGCTGGTGCGTGGCCTCCCCCCACTACTACCATCAATGGAGTCTATTCAAACAATCCTAGGATTTCTGCAGCAATAGCATTAATGCAAAAATATCTTCCTATTAACAGTTCTTACCAACACTTAGCATACTAAAGCCTTGTTCTTTTGTTTTTAAACAGCTACATTTACTGAAAAGGGTACAGGTCTTATTTTTTGTTGGCCTTCTCCTTTAAATTTGCAGGGATTACATCCGTTAACAGACTAAGGAGCATTCGCATTTCCTTACAGCAAATCCTGCTGGGTTATCTACGCCAAGGAAAGTCTGCATAGGACAAGGTCAACAAACTCCACTCGTGGCCACCATACCTTTCACCTAATGCCACACAGTTCCTGGCTGCCAGTTTAAATGGAGCACCCTAAGAGAACACCCACCTGACATGCACAACAACCTCTGAACCAGGAGGTCTGCAGCAACAGGCAGCCTGGTGGTCCCTTTGGAAAGCATCACATATTTAGCTGGAAAATGCTATTCTGACGTTCAAGATGTGTTTACCTTCCTTGAGCTAAGTGGTAATGTCCTGAAAAAGCTCACACCCTATTTACAAAGCACTTTAATACAAATCAAATTAAGGAAGAGTAATCACAAAGCTTAAAAACACATCGTGCAAAGCAAAGTACTCATTTGATGATTTAGTTAACCAGGACATTAACAGAAACTTCAGTCACAGACAGAGAAACAGCATAGGGAGTGGGAGTTCAGAGGGAAAAAAGAGGAGGGGTATAATATCCTACTGCTCATACCTTTTCTGTATTTTACTTAAGTATAGTTTGGTATTTTAAAAGAAATAACTTTAATATGCACAGCTGTTTGAAACATACTATAAATGCTGAATATTACGAAAGTCAACACATTTGAATTGGAAGTCAGTGAACATCTACCTCAGACAGGTCATGAGAGCCTTCCTCAAAATACGTACTTCATTACCACACATGTAATTCTACTTGCAACACCAAAAAGAGAAAGCAGAACCAGACCCTGTACTGAAGTAGTATTTTACAGAGTAAACAGTTTTTACGTTTTCATGCCTTATCACAGTTTTGCACATTTAGCTTGCCCTATGCAATTTATTTCTAGCTACTTTAGCACTCTTATACATGTCAGATCTCTCTATTATGTTTGGTGATCTCTTTGCTCTTTTCTGAGCAAGAAAAAAAATTAAATTAAAAACTAATTCCAGCAGAATTCAAAGCTCAATCATTTACTGAGGCTTCATAAGCTGCCCATTAAAACTTTACTTTTCAGCCTAAAACACAGAGTTCCCCCTTAAACTATGTAGCTGACACAATTTCCAACTGTTCTGATACATCTTTCAAGTTGTGTCTTGAACACATTAGCCAACAAGTATTTAACAAACCAGTACAAATACATGAAAAATCTTCTAAGATGATTTAGTAACAAACAACTCGACTTGGAAAATTAGTCAGTAACCGAAAAAAAAAATAGGATAGACTTCAGAAGAAAAATAATTAGCCTGTTCAAGCTGAGAAAGAGCATTACATGATCATACCCTGGTATACATATTTTTATTGAACAACTCCCTGCTTAAAACGTGTTCTGATACAACACTAATCAAAACGTGCACCGGGAAGCATGTCAATATTTTCACTGAAGTCAATGGATCACCATTTGCTCCAATAAACAAGCAATTTAAATTAAAAAAAAAATCCTACGACAATTCTACTCTTTTATTACAAAAATCTCTTCAAGTAATAGGAGAGGCAGAGCACGGTGATGGGTAATACTCTCACAAACCCTTATGCAGGTCACAGCATATAAACAAAGGACAATTCCTGTAATTCTACAGAAATGTCCCAGAACTCAAAAAAAAAAATCAAACCAAATAATAAAAAAAGATAAGGACAGCAGTTTAAACTCTTCTTCATCCCTAAACTCAGATTAGGTCTGCAGTGCTAAAGACTATATTAACTTCACTTCCACGGGAGATGATGGCTGTCCATTTGAAAAGTGCAAAACTGGAAACAAGAAACCCCATCCCCAAAGACAATGACTACCTGGGCGCCCTGCCTACCCCCCAGTGCACAACCACCGTCCGGAGGTGGTTTTCGATTAGGGAATTACGGATGTAAATTAAAACAGATCATCCATCGTACACAGAAACACGAGTAAAAAACTCAAAAGCAGAAACAGAGAAGCGGTATAATTCTCAAAATTATTCTCCGTTGCCTGAAGATACTTAAGAGCCACGGTCGATGTCCACAAGGACAGCTTTAATTCCCGCTACGAAGGGCTGGAAGCAGCGGCGCGCTCCGCCGCCTTCGGCCTATGAAAGCCCTCGCTCCCCAAATCACTCGGGAGACAGTTTTCCTACATAAACAGGCAGGAAACGTGTGTAAAATGGCAGCTGACACGCTGAAGCCCTCGCGCTCTTTCCCCTCCTCCGGGGCACTTTTCTCATCCAGCGGCGGCCCAGGATCGGCCCGGGCCGCGCCGGCTCCAGCGACACCACCCCTTCGCCCGCCCCTCCGGTCGCTGTTCACAGCGGGCCGAGGCCAAAGGGCTCCGGCACCGCAATAAACGCGCGTCGCTGGCGTTTCGACGCAAAACCCGCCCCGGGGCCACGGGGTTTGCCCCGAGCGCCAGCCGTGGGCCCTGCGGGCAGGGGGGCCGCGCCGATGGAGCGGCAGCGCAGGGACCGCGCTCCGTGCCTCGCGGGCACAGCGAGCGCTCCCCGGCCCCAGCTCCCCCCCGGCCCGGGCCCGGCGCTGACGGCGCAGCCGCCATTACACAGAGCCGCGGCCCGCCCGGTCCCCGCTCGCCCGGCCGCGCCTGGCGCCGCGCTGACGCGGGAAGAAGCGCAGTCGGCGGCCGATGCCAGAGCACGCGGGCCCAGCAGGCGCGGGCGCGAGGCCCCTGCGGGCGGTTTTACCTTCGTGGGTCTTGGCGATCTTCGCCATTTTGTGCAGCGCCACCGATGCCGAGGCGGAACTGCTGCGACCCCGCCGCTTCCGCCGCGCGCGGCTCCCGGCGCCGCACTGCGCACGCGCGCACCCTGGCCAGAGGCGCGAGCGGATGGACGGCGCGCTCGGCCAATGGCAGCGCAGGAAGCGGCAGGAGGCGGGCTCTGAGAGGCACCGCCTCCGTGCCATTGGGAGCGTGAGGGCACTTCCGGTGCGGGCGGCCGGGATGGGGCAGCTGAACATGGCAGGGATCCGTGGGAACGTCCTACCCGCTGATCCAGGGCTCTCCCACGGGAATTGGGGTGCCCTGCGCTGTTTGCCGAACTGCTTGGCCTTGTGTTTCACCCGAGCAGGGTAATTGCCCCAGTGCCAACACACCAGAATAAAGCACATGTGTGTCCACTTGCCACAAGATGTGGCTTAACTGGGCGACAGCTCTTCAGGCAGGTCAAGTCCACCCAATATTGTAGTAAAGGAGAAAGGGAAGCTGTGTTTCTAAAATTGGCAGATGACACCAAACTGGCCGAACCTGCTGGAAGGTGGAAGAAGGAACTGAGAATCATTGATTCATGCAAGAAATAATCTGAGATCAAGGAGGTGGACTTTGATAACAAAAAGCAGAAGTTACTACATCTTAGAATTCTAAGTCAGTATATGAATTCAAAATAGTAAAAATCTTTAGAAAGTGATGACGTGGAGAGCAAATCAGAGCTACATATCTGTCATAGCAGTGTGCTGCTGCAGAGGAAGTAAATTACTTCTAGGCCATTAAAAGTGGCATTGCACAAAAACCCTGGAAAGTAGTAATTTCCTTTTACTTGGCACAGGCAAAGCCATTGATGGAGTTCATTTTAACACTCTACAGTTCAATAAATTCATGGACAAACTCAACAGAGTCTGGAAGAGAGTAGGACAAATAGTCAGAGGTTTATGACACGAGCCAGGTGGGAATGTAAACAAATGACTTAACTGCCCTGCAGTAACCGACCTTACACCACTTCCACATTTCATTTGGGTACTACCAACTTTTTCCCAGTTCTGTGGATGTGATGCACACATGTTTCAACATCACTGTCTACCGTGTACCTCATAACTGAATGGGATTGATTCTGTCCTCCTCCAAAGCCCTTGGAACTCCCCCTTGCAGTCAAATGTTGTGAATGAGCTCATTTTTTATTCTCTGAACTTTAGTACAAGTGAGCATCAACCTCAGTAAAACACCAAGGCGCAGCCTAAGGACAAAGTCCATGATTGCTTACTCATACGACACATCAGTGACATTTCATAACACAGTGACATATGTAAAGTTACAGAGTTTATTTACTGTCATGCAGTTCTCTTGTACAACTGCTAAGTTCCTCATCTCAGAAGCCACTGCAACAAGCAAAGTTGGGTCGATTTGAAAACTTCTGGTTAACGTAAAATATATAAAGTATTTGTAAAAATGGGTGATAAATGCGTGATGGCAAAACTCATTGACTCCTCACCAATCACTCCCTTATGAAAGCTGGTAGGTCACATTTTGGCTTTTTGAGGGTTGTCATAAGGCAAATAATGCCAAGGTCATGTGTTTGTGTTAACATGTACATTTGATAAGCCAATTGATCTATAGATCTGTCTACTTTGTATTGATTTGTTTGCAGAAGTTTGTTGAACAGTTCTGCTTGTAATATTTTACAGAACTACGTGTGCTCAAATGTTCCTAAGACCAACTGTCATTGCAGAGGGTCTTCTGGTTCTTTAGAGTTACTAAACTCACATTCTGCATTTCTGGAAAGAAGCACTTGCACATAATCACAGGCTACAGAAGGAGACATTTCCTGAGCTGGCCAGGGACATGTGGCAGGGAGGTTGAGGCAGACACTAACTCCCTACTGCAAGAATTTAATGCATGTAACTATTTTAAGGAAACGTCACATGCTCAGATTCACTATGAAGATCAATTTGCAGTAACTTTCTCTTGTTTCTTTGGCCTGACTTCCAATTTATGTTAAGCAGAACAGTTACAATATTACATTACCTCTGTCATTAAACAGAACTCAGCTCAGGGATGAGATCCCAAGGAACGCTTTAAAGTAGTCATTTTGGAATGTGCCATAAAAGGGAAACAAAGAACAAACAGGAATTGTGCTGTGATGAAACAACGAGAAAACTGCTTTCTGCTTGTGTCTCTTCCCTGCTTTCCTGGCAAATTCTGTATGCTGCCCCAGGTTCTTTGTGTCTGCCTGTCAGAGCCCTGAATATGGACTTTTGCCTCCTGAACAACAACTCCATCACACAGTTTCCACAGGATACGGACAGAGCTGTTACTTAGTAGTTTCCCAGTCCTACTTCTCTTGCCCATGTTCCAATCCCTCTCCCCCACATACACACATGTATACATACTTCATGGAGGTTCCTGTATGGATTTGAAACAGATTGGATTTAAGAGCCCATAAACTTTGCAGATCTGGAATCATACCTAAATTACAGACCTGTGAGGTCCCACTTTACATAAGATTCAAGTCCAACTTCATTGGCGGCTTAAGCTGCCACTGGCTGGCACTGCTGCTGAAGAAGTATCCAGACACTTTGCCTGTCCTTGATCGACCCCATCCATTGTGCCAGTAGAAGCTTCTGGCACCGGTTCACTCTAAGAAGCCAGGCTTCTGACTGCACCCTCCTGCTGCTTCTTCCAAAACCAACTTTTTGTATTCATTTTTTTCCCCACACACAATGCTATGAAGAATTGTACAATGAGCTGACATTATGCAGAAAAGCTACAAACCTGGTCTAAACTCTCAGTGCTTCATTTTATCCCAGGTCTGTGCTTAGCTTCAGATGCCAGGGACAGTTCACTGACGTTCATGTGTCTGTTAAAGGTAGGGGCAAAAATTCTTAAACCAAAGTGAAGAAATATTCAACAGCAGCAACTATGTTTCAACTCCACAGAAACTTAAAATATGAGCAAGAAAAAAAGCGCACAAAATAAAATCTCTTCTAGTCACATTTTTGCTTCTGATGTCAAGAAGGAATAAGGTAGAAAGGATCCTTTTTGTCATTGGAAAGCCAATGAGTTGAAAAAACTTTTGGAGGGGTTGTGTTCTGCAGCACGGGAGGTGTGTGTGTAACCTGGACACAAACCACCCCTGCTTTGTGTGTCACTGCTGGCAAGGACAGAGCTGAGGAACAGAAATGAAAGAGGGGATGGGGTTGTTATCCGTGCTCCCACAGTCCTGTGGGCACCCCTGGAAGGATTTTTTTTGTACATTCTGTCTCGAGAGGAGCCAGGCTTCAGGCCCACAGAGCCCGTGCCACCGCTGGCACAGCACCCAGGGCTGGCAGGGGGAGGGCAGCTGGGGAAGGGCCACACCAGCCCTCTGGAGAAGCCCAAGACACGACCCTCCTCCAGCAGCAACCCTCCCCCAGCCTGCCAGAGCTGAGCCTGGTGTCTGGGTGGGTTAGTGAGGATCACGTTCTTCCTTAGCAGTTAAATAAATACAGACAGTACTATTTTGGAAGTGGGACAGAGTAAGAACAGAGCAGCTGGATTTCAAAACTGGCTGTGAGCAACTATCCACTGAGATTTCAACCTTTTTTGGATTTACAGGCCCACCAAAATCTTATAAAGGTCTAAAAAGTCTAATCCTTTACATAACAGGTTTACAGCCAAATACTTCAATTGTTACAAGTTCACTGGTGCTACGTGAAATGTAAGAAAATTCATGTGATTTTATATTGTAGCTCCTGATTAATCCACTTGAAATAGTAAATCTGCCCTTAATTCCTAGCTGCATCATTTGCAGACCATGTAACAATCATCACCCATGCTTGTAGATCATCTTTCTTAGTCTAAATATATGATTGTGAGATATTTTGAAATCTTTCAAAGACAAGTATTATTCAAAACTAATTTATGAATAGGAGTACAATGGCCATAATTTTGCTTTACTCTTTATCTCTTAAGGGAACATACTAAACCAGCTGCCCTTTTCAGTAATCTGTAGAAATAGAGCTGAATAAATTGTGTAAAAATAACCTGTTTTTACACAGGGATGGACTTGCCTCGTCTAGGATTGACTGTCTCTCTGCCCATTTAGAGGTGTCCTTAAAATTCTTAATTGTTTTTAATAGGATAAATCTCATAATCAGAGTTTAAACCTAACCTTTTCTCATGATGGTGGCGTTATAAAAAATAGCATATAGAAAAAAAATTCTATGTGACCATACCATACATCTCTTTCAGGTGTATCAGAAATGTCTTGCATCCCTCTAGTGTTAAGTATTAATTTGGGACCCTCTTCCTGTCAAAGTTAGCAAATGCACATCTTTTTTCTAGCAACAGGTATCAAGCAAGGTTTAATGACTGCAATCCTGAGCCTACAGGAGAAAACAAAAAAGGCAAAAAAACTTCAAAGTGCCTTTGACATCCATCATCTTGGACCTTTCAACACTTGACTCTTCAGTTATTCTGAAAGACATCAATGTCTCTAAGAGGCAGTTCCTGATCCACAGAGCAAGACAGAACAACGGGACAGAACACGCTCCCATGGCAAACACAGACACCAGCAAATAAGAGCAGCTCTGATGGAAGCTGCAAAACACACAGATGAGTTTAGTAATAAGGATTGAAGGAGGAGGAGGGAGGCCAGGATTGGGGTTTTGTTTGTGTTTCTGGATTGGCTGCTTGTTTTCAGCCTGCACTGGAAAATGTGGGTTTTCACATGTTTCTGTTTTACATCAAGTTAATAGGAATATGCTACAGGACAGCTTATCTGAAGAACACCATGCCCTGAGGTGATAAAGTAAAAGCTGCTCCAACTAGTTTCAGTCATCCGAATTGGTGGTGTTCTTGTTTAATGGTGAGTGGTTTTGCTAATGGCAAGGACACTGGGATAATTAAGGAGGGATAAAAAAGGAGGACTTTTTTGAAGAGGTTGTTGCTGTGGGCTTACATAGTTGGAACTGTTATTTTTGTCCCGAAATTTTCTTGCTTTTCAATACATTGACTAAATGGCTTTCATTGGATTTAAAGTTCTAGTTGCATTTAATTGGGTGGGAAAGGGTTCTTCCCATAGCTGGAGAGACATTGATGACAACGTATCCAAGCTGGTTTTCTAGTGTGACACAGCCCAGACCCATGTTCAAGTTCAGGGTGAGTAAATACTAAACTTAGTTCAAGATTCCCAGTCAGAAGGCTGCCAGTCCACCAGGTACTAAATTAAACGAAACAAAACAAACCCCAAACCACCCAAGCTATTTTATGGAAATAGATTTTGCAGACTTACCTTTAAACAACTTACATGTAATACATACTAAGTACAAAATATGAAATGTGTGATGAGTTATATTCAAACAGTAGTTCGTCAATCACACTGTAATTGTAAAGCAGGCTTTCGTTGAGGGAGGCCGTATTCGAAAGGTGAATTAGAAGAAAGTAGTGAGCTCTTTGCTTCGGCTTGTGTTAAAACGACGCTCTGTGGTTACAGTCGGGTCTGTGGCCGCACTGTTGAGTTTTAATGACGCCAGTGACCGTAACCCTGAGCCCGCACCGAGCAGGAGCGGGACGAGCTCCAGCTGAGGGGCCGCGGAAGGAGCTCCTTCGGCGGGGACCCCCGGCTGGGCGCTCTGTGGGGGGCGGGCCGGGCCGGGGACAGGGACAGGGATGGGACGGGACGGGACGGGGGGGGGGCTCTGAGGGGACTCCCCGCGCCCACAAGCCCAATTATGGCCGCGCGCGGGGCTCGCGCGCCGCCGGGCCAATCAGGGGGAGCGCCGCGGCCGCGCGCGCCCGTCCCGTGACTGCGCGCCCCCGCCGGCGGCACGGGCCGGCCCCGCGCGCGACAGGCGGCGACAGGCGGCGACGGGCGGGCCGGGATGTCGCGGAGCGGAGCGGCGCTCGCCAGGGCGCTGGCCGGAGGGGCCGGAGGGGCCGGAGGGGCCGGAGGGGCCGGAGGGG